ACACACAAGCAGGAGCAAGAAAACTATGATTACCCAGAACTCTGTCTCCCAGAGAGCCCGTCCCCGCCTGGCAGCGGCCCCCAGACTGCTCTCCATGCCCCCTGCAGCCTGCCCTTCGAAGCCTGCATCGTTACTTGCCTTTTTTGTTTCGTAATACATCACGGACAGTTTTCCTTGCTAATCAATAAACCTGCGTTACAGGTTCCTCCCAGCCCGCACCGTGTGATTTCTGAACTAATCTCCCCTTGGGATTGGTTCCGTGAGTCTGCAGAGCATTCAAGGCAGGGTCTGGCACCTGCAAGAGCTACATAAGTAACTGGCTTCAAACGTGTTCATCAAAAAGCCGCAAAAATACAGGAGAAGTCGGCAAACCCACCATCACAGAGGAAGGTTTTTAACTCTCACTTCTGGGAAAACTACAAATCAAGCGCACAAAAGTGGGGGAAGCGGTGAGACTCGGAATCACATCGGGGGCGGGGCCCCTCCACAGGCTCCGCAAGCTGCTCCCCACCGGGCGCCCCCCTCCGGCCTCCGTGCCCTCCCCTCTCCTCCTCTGCCTTCAAGGAGGGTGCAGACGCGGCCTCCTGGCGGCCTCCCGTGCTCCTCCTGGTCCCTTGGGCTCTGACTGCAAACCTGTGCTCACCTCCTCCTTCCAACCCAAACTCCGCCTTGGCTCCCTTACTCCCGCCCACGGGTCCCTGGAGGGTGGGACCAGCCGTGGTCCAGCCTCCCCAGCTCTGCCTCTGGCCCCGCGGCTCCTGGAGGGGCCTGCTCCTCCCCGGGGCCTCGGCAGCTGGGCTTCCTCTGCCTGCGAGGCCCCAGCTCCTGACCCCTTCTCCCAGCAAGGCTGACTCTCAGTCCAGCCCCAGCCCCAGCCCCAGCCCCTCCGTCGTCCTTCCCTGACCTCTGCTGCCCAGGTCAGTTGCACACCGGCCCCCTCCTCGCCAGCACGCAGCACAGTTCCTCCGTGCCTCTGTTTCCCATCAATCTGATCAGCTTCTCGCCTACGGAGATGGGGCCACCGGGAGGTGCGCCATTTGACAGAACACCTATCCTCTCTCCGAGTCACACCTGGAGGCCTGGCCCCGCCCTCCCCACGTGCAGACCTGGGCCCTCATGGAGGAGCCCCAGGTGCAGGCCAGCGCACAGGTTGTGGGAACCGTGCGAGGCGGGCAGGTGCAGCCACAGCTCCCTCCTGGAGTCCACGCCGAGGCTGGGGCATCGCGGCCAGAAAGCAGTGCTGAACTGGGGCTGCAGCGCCTCTGGGGACCGGCAGGATGACAGGGCCCCCGCGAAAAGCATCTCAGCACCTCAGCACTAATGAAGAACCTTCCAGGAGACCCAGGTGCATGTGGGTTCTGGGCTCGTGCAAGAGAGGGAACAGCTTTCGACGGCTTGGGGTGGGTCCTTCTCTGCTTTTCTTGGAAGGGATGTCCTGTCTCCCGGCCAAAGGTCTCCCACCTCTGCTCTCAGTATCTGGGAGTGCTCACCCTCCCTCCTGTCCCAGCGCCCGCGCGCTCCCTCACCTCCTGCCTGCACTGTATCCCCTCCTCAAACAAACAGAGCCCCCCCCAGCCTCCCCACCCCTCCTGCAGACCTAGGAATCCTCCCGCAGGAGGAATCAGTGGTTTCCCCGCAGGACGGGGTTGGGAGCCCGAGACTGCAGGTCCCAATCCCGCCTGCAGAGCCAGCCCCCAAGTCCCCAGGTCACTGTCCCACCCGCACCCCAAGTGCCTTTAAGGGGCCCCCTTCCTCCTGCAGCTTCCTCTGCTGAGTTCAAGGTGCACACTACAGGAGAGGAGCAGCTTGTGGGGGGGACTGTCACATGTTAAGGTGGTCCCTTGCTGCCAAACTGTCCTCTGGGGAGACTGTCCCTCTCGCTCCCCCAGGGAAGAGAGAGCGTTTTTGCACCTCTCCTCACACTCAGCACCGTCAGCCTTTGAATCTGCGCCGTCCCTGGTGGAGAGTGAGAGCCTCAGCTCCTCCTGATGTCAGTTTCAGGATCTAACTCGGGGGAGATGGTGCTGCAGAGCTGATGTGAGAGGGAGCCGCCCCCCCCCCCCGCCACGTACCCTCTCTCCTGGGGACAATTCCTCGCAACTCCTTTGGCGAATTACTTTGGTATCTGCTTCCGCATCCCCAGACATCGTGCTGCACTTGGCTCCTCAGTTCCTGGCATCACTCAGAGTTCGGCTCCTTCACAGCCCTGCCTCCCCTCCACATCCCCTCCATATGTTCAGACACATCAGGGAGCCTCTCAAGTCCGTCCTCCGCGGGCGGCCTCCCCAGGACCACGCACCTGCCCGCTCTAGACCAGCCTGGCACACCGCTATCACCCAGGGCCTCGCTGCCTCTCCTGCACACGCACACCTCCGAGACACCGCAGGGTCGGCTGCAGACCCCGCACCCAAGCATGTAATCACAGTAAAGCGAGTCCCAGGAATCTTCTGGCCTCCCCGTGCACACGAAAGTTGTGCTTGCACTATACTGTAGTCTAAGTGTGCAGCAGCATTGTCTACATAAACACTGTACCTTAAAAATACTCACAAACGTAGCCATCACCTAAGCCTTCAGCGCATCGCAGTGGTAACACCAGGTGTCACTGATCACCCCTCCCCACGACGAACATAATCGTAAGGAAAAAACGTGAAACGTCTCAAGAATTACCAAAACGTGACAGACACAGCGCGAGCAAATCCTGCTGAGAAATGACGCCAACAGATTATCAACGCAGGGTCGCCGTAACCCTTCATTTGCAAAAGACGCAACACCCTCGAAGCACAGTAAAGTGGGGCTCACAGGACGGGTGTACCTGGGCCGGATCCCTCGTCTGCCTCTCGCAGCCGACTCCCTGGTTTCCACGGAGCGTATCCTCTAGCAGTTTTCTGAGAAAAGACACACAGGAGGTAAACTTTGACATCTTGCACGTCTTAAAGCACACTTATTCTGTTCTCACCCTTAATTTATATTTCCCCTGGGCTTAGAATTTCAAGCTGGAAAATCACTTTCCTTTAGAATTTTGAAGGCATTGCTCTCTTTTTTCCAGCTTTCAAGATGGGGATGAAGTCTGAAGCCGTTCCAATTCTGAAACCCTTGACTGTGTTTTAGTGGGGAAGGCAGGCGTTTCCTCTGTCCCTAATTCTGAGATTTCCTAACAATACTTGGTGCGGGTCTGTCTTCACTGATCTGCGGGGCCCCATTCACTCCAGAGACGCGCCTCAGGCTCTGGGAAGTGTTCCTGATTTGTCTGAAACGTCTTTGGTTAATTCTCCTCCATTTCCTATCGTATTCCTAGAACTCTTACTGCTCAGATATCAGGTGTCTAGTGACCCTTTCATGTTCTTATTCTCTCTCTCATTTTTCTATTTTCTGGAGGGATTTATTTGACTCTGTCTTCCAACTCTTCTGTTTCTCATTTTAGCCATTCTCTTTAATTTGCAAGCTCTTTGCTCCAACTGTCTTTTAAGAAAAGGAAAAACAGTGTCCTGTTTATGGTTCAAGGATACAGTTGTACCTCTCTGAGGATAGTGGTTAGTTTTCTGAGCTCTCTCTCTCTCTGCTCTGTCTTTGTCCTCCAAGTCTCATTTCTGCACTTTATTTTGTTGTGTCTTTGAGACACCTGACTCACGGCACCTCTGCGCTCGCTCGAGCTGTCACTCAGTCTCTATCTCGTTGCCACGCGTTTCCCCAGAGGCCCAGTGGCGCTTGGCTGTGGGCTCATTGCCAAGAGTGGGCACTAGGGGGCTGGAGTCTGAGGCCCCAAGGCTCCGAGGAATCTCCTGGGCTGCGGCCGCTTGGCCAAGCTCCCCGGAGGAGGCTCTTGCATCTCCCTGGGGGAACAGGGCCGCCCGCTGGGACTGAGAGCGGTGGGAGCTGGGGTCCCAGCAGAAGGTAGAGTGAGTCTACTCCCCACCCCGCCTCCCTCTTCGGGGCAGAGAAGAGCCCAGGCCCTTTGGGGGAGGGCGGGCGGGCCGGCCGGCCGCTGGGCATCTCCGCTCCACCTGCTCATCAGAGTCCTTGGAAGTTGAACCAAGCTTCCTCATTCAGCCGCATCTCTAGCCCCCTGCACATGGCCTCCCCCACTGCCCAATGCTTGGAGTGCTGGGGGCCCTGCCACGAGGGGGCGTGGCCTCTTGTCTCCCACCCCGACTTTCCGTGGCGTTTTTTAGAACGCCTTTCCCCCGTTTCTCAGTGGACTTGTCCACCATGCTGTTCAATGCTGAGAACTTTCATTTTTCCTCCCACAGCTGAACACAATTTCTATCTGCCTCCATTTTGCTTGTTGGGGAAAATTTTTGTCAGGTGACCCGAGTGCATTCGGTGGCCCCCACCCCTGTGCAGTGAAGGTTCCCCCACCCTGGGCACAGAAGGCTGCGTCCGGGTCCAGGTGGGCGGGGAGGCTCACGCCTGCAGAGTGTCACGTGGGTCCGTCTGGTGCATCGGCCGTGGGGCCACCTCCCTCTGCGGCCCCCGGCGTCACGGAGGTGGGTGCCCCTTCCAGGGCTCTTCCCGCAGTAACAGCCCCACCCAGCACGGCGGGCCTCACGCCTGTCCCCCGTGTGTCCTGGGAGGAAGGGACCGGAAGGAAGACCCAGGCTCTTCACTCCTTCTGATTTTTCTTGCCTGGCCCTTAAAATCCGCCTGCTCTGCCTGCCTGTGCCCACGGCATTTCTGACGCCGGCAGCGAGGACCCCACTCCTTTAGGGATTTGCTTCGTTTTCTCTCCTCACGCCGCCCAGGTCCCTGTGGACCCCAGGGGTCAGTCTCCAGAGGCTTCTCCACACTAGGCGGGCAGGGGCTGGGGCCTCATGGGAACAGGAAAGAACGACTTAATTTGACCTGAGACTTTCCTCAAAGAAACAGAACACACCCCAGCCCCTCCGCCGCCCACCCAGCCTGCGCCGCCGCCCCCCAGGTCGGCCGCACACCCTCCCCAAACTTCCTCCTCCTCCAGCCTCTGTCCTCCTCACAGGCCAGGAGCCCAGACAGCGCGCGGCCACGCGTCACCAGCCGGGGAAGAGCAGAGCTCAGCCATGTCCATGATGGGGACAGCCGTCTCCTGGGAGGGAGCCACGCAGACACTCAAGACCCCTGACCGTCCCCCGAAGGACATCCAAGCGCCTCCAGCTGCCTCTGGGGCCGCCTCCTACCCTGACCTGGGGGCCCAGCCTGTCACCGGCCCCGCCTGCTGGCCCGACATGAGGCCCTCTTGGGCCGCCCCCTCCTGGATGGAGTGCCCCGCCCCTTGGAGTTACATGTGCACACCCTCTGTCGGCCATCTCTGGATTGGGTACCCCTGTCCTGTTGCCTCAGCGCCTTCAGTCTGGACTTGGGGCATCTCCAGTGTTGACCCCCTCACGGGAAGACAGCACACTGCCCCCCTGGCCTCTGGAGTGTTCCCTTACCCAGCGGGCCCCCCACCCCCGTACTCCTCAGTCCCTCCAGCTCCAAGCGGGGACGCCTCGGGGGCCTCTGGAGTGTTCCCTTACCCAGCGGGCCCCCCACCCCCGTACTCCTCAGTCCCTCCAGCTCCAAGCGGGGACGCCTCGGGCCACTGCACCCAGGAGGGGTGGCAGACTCCGGCCAGCTCGGCGTCCCCGGCTGCAGTGGAGGGCCCGTCCAGAGGGGCTTCCTACTTGACAACGTACCAAGTCCTTCCATCAGAATGGGCGTCCAGGCTCAGCATTTGGGCACCCAAGCCGTCCTCCAGCCCAGAACTCTGCCCTCTGCCCCCTTCCCCCAGCGGGGACCCTCAGGGGGAGCCCCGCTGCCCCCGGCCCCCCTCCAGGGTCCGCCGCCGCCTCTTCCAGCACTAACCCTCCCCTCCAGGGGAGACGTGGTGTGGGGCCCAGTGAGCTGTGGTGTGCAGGAGGCTTTGGTTTTGATTTTTAAGTTTTTAAAGGGTCTCAGATGTAAGGTGCTGACTCCTACTCAGGGCACAGTGCTCCCACCGGCCCATGTGAGGCCCCTCAGCCTGTTGTTCGCCCTCACTTTACTTTTTCCCCTTTGCCCTTCCACCCTGCTGCCTGTGCCTCCCCAGCCAGCACGGGCCAGCCCCCTGGTCTACTTGCATTCTTGTGGAACACGTCTGTGTGCCTGTGTTTTTAAATTCCATAAACGACCTGCTGTAATAATAGCTGTGTCTCTCTGCTCTCTACCAGCGTCACAACGTTTAAGACCCACCCACCGAGCTGGTGTCCACTTGGTTCTCAGCTCCAAACAGCTCTGCAGGTCAGAGCGCAGCCCCCACCCTTGGCTGAGAGCGTGACCTGGGAAGGCAGCAGTTAGCGACGGCAACAGTACGGGTTGCACTGTGTTTAGGGAGGGGTCGTGTTCCCAAGTGACCAGAGGGACCAGGTCTGGTGAGGCTGTGGGGGTGGGGTGGCCGTGACAAGGTGACTGGCAGTGACAAGGTGAGGGAACAGACTGGCTGCTGGGAGATCCATCCTCCTGGATTACAAGGCACAGGGTGAGAGCTGGAAAATGGTGAGAAACGGGGCCAAAGGGCATAGCAAGCACTGGTCTGATGGGACCTTCAAAGGACAGGGCGTGGAAGTAGCAGGGAGGGCGGGGGGGCCAGTGGACATGGCCATCACTGGGGGGGCCTCGGGCAGCGGCGCCCCTGGGGAGCCCCTTGTCAGAGGGGACGCTTCACGGAGTGGACGTGCGTCCCGCATCACTAGAGGACGTCTCGCAGCCATTCTGGGCCTTTCCTGACGGACGAGACGCTGGGAGAGCCTGCTGACGGCTGACAGGCAGGGATGCAGGTCCCTGCCAACCTTGAGTCCCCTGTCCTTCACGTCCCCACTGGGGGCTAAGCGAGGGGAAAAGCGGCTGATCGCTACTGAAGCTTCCAAACAAAACTCGTTTTACACAGAAACACAAAGTGTGTTTGCACGGTTTTAATGTGACCTCTCCTTTCATTTTCCTTTTTTTTTTGTAATGGAAATGGCTCTAATCTTATTTCTCAGATCCTAACTTCTTCATAATAGTGTGACATCTGATGGCATCGTGTCTTCTGGGAAATCACACCCATGCATCAACACGGTGAAATACATATTCTTAAAATACAAGTGCACCAAAAATGTGTATATGAGTTATAACCTGTTATTTTTTTTAATTTTGAAATCATAGATTGCTGGGAAGCTGTGAAGAGCAGAGAGGCCGGGGTGGGGGAAGTGCCAACTCGCCAGGGACGCGGTGAGGCTGGCGGCCTCGGCACCGCCAGGCAGGGATGGACGTCTGACCTCTCCCATGTCCCCAGTGGGAGTAGAGGGGCTCCCCACTGGCCATGGCTGTGGGGTGGGCTGGGGTGCTTCTCTGTCTGTCTGCCTCTCCGTCCGGACTTTCTGAGTGGTCTCTCACTCTTGCTCCCAGTCTGGGGTCCACGAGGTAAACAAGCCCCCAGGGAAACTCCCTGCCGAGCGGGTCCTCCACGCCAGGCCCCCACCGACAACAGGCCTTCTCCCCACGTTTCAGAGCCTCCCCGTGCGTGCTGGGTCCATCCATCCAGACTTTCTAGCTGTGCTTAGGGGCACGCACGGGGAGAAGTGAGTACCTTCCGTCTTCATCTGGACCCGAGAGTCTCATGATCTACCAATTTTCTTCCCCAAAATAATGCAGTCAGTGCTATTAAACAACTGGCACCAAAACGTGGTGTCAGGCCTGGTAGGGTGTGGATTGCTCGTCTTAAATCAAGAGGGTGGAGGCAGGGGTAGAAGCCCATTGCAGACCCGCTGTGTGACCCTCGCACCGCAAGATGCCGGTGCAGGTGAGGGTGGACGTGCCTGGCTTGGCTGGGAGCCCCGACCCCTGGTCATCCCGGACTGGCCGGGACAGTCAGGGTGGGTGTGCAATGGGCGTCGGGGAGGCCAAGGTGCTCGGCAGTATGTCTGGGACCATGGCGGGGGAGGCTGGCTGTGGGACCCCAGGCGCCCCTCCCACAGGGACTTTCATTCGGGCAGCATGGCCAGGGCCATGACTCACAGTGGTGTAGCCGGCATCTTTCTTGTTCATAGTCTGATCAGAAATTTGCCTCTTCCTCAGTCCTTCTTATCAGAAGACTTTGTCAAAGAAGCCGCTCTCCACTTTGTTAAGAGGAAGAAGACAAACGTTCGCCGTGTCCGTTTCTGTTTTGGCCTTCATGCCCTTCTCCTTGTTTCCCCGGTTTCCTGAGCAGCACACTGAGCTCTTTCTTCCCCAGTTCCTGACAAATGTGTCACCCTCTGGGCACCCTTTTGCTGTATTCTGTAAACTCTGCATGTTTAATTCTAAGAATTTCATGATTTGCCTTAACTCAGAGGATTATTTAGAAGTGTGCTATTTTATTTCCAGGATTATAAAGCTAGTCCTCTATTTCAGAGACGCAAATTTACTGAAAGAGGCTGGGGTGAGGGTCACAAGAAGCCCAGGGGGGTTGGGGTGCAGCTCCTCCCGTGGTCCTGGCCCTGCGAGGTGTCTGCTGAGGGGGGCTCCTGGGCTGGTGTCTGACACCCGAGCTCTCAAAATCCTACTATACCAGCCCCACAGCCTGAAGCGGTTCAGTAAGGAGACTCTTCTTTGGGACGGGGATCAAGCCCTGGGGGCAGGGCAAGCCGCCCCAGTTTGCCCGGCAGACACAGCACTGCCCGCGGGAGGCCAGGCGCAGCGGGCTATCCTGATGGGGCCTCCAGGCGCCCATCACCTGTCTGGCCATTTGGCGGGGCGAGCTGACGGACAGGCAGCGCTCCGGCTGGCTGCTTCCCCACGGGGAACGCCGCCTTGTCGACTCTCTGCCTGTCTCCTGCTCCCCATGAAGCCTGGGCGCCCTCGTGGTGCCCGCGTGAGGGACCTCTGGCAGCGGCCCCCACCCACTGCCCTACACCCCCCTCAGCCAGGTGCGCCCGCGCCTGCTTGCCCGGCCAGCCCCCCTCAGCCGGCGTGGTTATGCCAACTCTCCGTTCTTTTTGGCAAATAACATCAGCTAGCAAGAGATTTCGCCAAGTGCCAGCAGCATTCTGACTCCCAGCCTCGCCGCCAGGATCCTGAGAGCGCGGTCTGGTCTACACAGATCACTCCTCGCACCCAAAGCTTAGCGCGCAAATGTTCTCGAGCAAGACCTGTCGCGTGTCTGTAAGCAGATGCAGCCTAGCCTCCCTCCCAGAAACGCGGACGTGACAGCATCCTCCCAGCCAAGGTCAGAAAGAGGGCGGCCCAGGGGTCAAAGGGGAGAAGCAGCCCCCGACGTTCAGGCCAATCCGAAGGCCTCAGGGACAGCCCGCTTTCAGCACATCAGGCAGATTCACAAGCCACCACTTCCTCTGTTGAGAACTCACATCTGACCCTCACGAAGCCAGTGGGCCGAGGCTCTGCACTCGGCATCCGAGTAGACGGGTCGGGGTGGGGGCAGCCACTCCACAGGGGGCTTTTCCTACCGTGAATTCTTAAACAGGCCAAGTGGCCCCGGGGGTCACATAAAGCCCCCAGGTACACAGGGTCCGACGCCACCTGCAGCCCTGACCTGGCTCTCTCAGGAGGGGCCGTTAGTCAGGGTCACCCGGCGCCTGGGAGCGAGACCCCAGCTCTGCAGTCAGAGAAGTTGCCACCCCCCTGCCCCCACGTCCTGCTCATGGCTTCCCCCTCCCACCCTGCCGGGTGCCCCCAGAGGGAGC